GCTCAGGAATTTAAGACCAACCTGCAATACATAGTGATACCATCTCAAAACAACAAAACAAAACAAAAGCAAGCCACCAACAACTTGGGATGTTGAGGCAAGAGGATCACGAGTTAGAGGCCAGTCTGGGCAACCTAGTTGGAGCCTATCTCAAAATAAAATAAAGGGGTAGGGATGTAGCACAGTGGTAGAATGCTTGCCTAGCATGTGCAAGGTCCTGGGTCCAATCCTCAGCCCAGCAAAACAAACACCACCACCCAAAAGCTGTTCAAGATATGTGCTTGAGCTGGGTGGGCATGGTGGCACACGCCTGTGGTCCCAGCAGCTGGGGAGCCTGAGACAGGATGATCACAAGTTCAAAGCCAGCCCCAGCAACTAGCAAGGTCCTAAGCAACTTAGCGAGACCCTGTCTCAAAATACAAAATAGAAAATAAAAAGGGCTGGGGATGCGGCTCAGTGGCTAAGCACCCCTGGGTTCAATTCCTGGTACCAAGAAAAAAAAATGTGCTTGAAGACGCCTCCTTTCCTGGTTTCTGTTTTCTAGCGTCTTAGCTTAGTGGGCCTAAAAATTGATGCACAGGGGCTGGGGTTGTAGCTCAGTGGTAGAGTACTCGCCTCACATGAGTGAGGCCCTGGGTTCAATCCTCAGCACCACATAAAAATAAACAAATAAAAAATCATGCACATAAGAATCAAGTAGAGGGGCTGGGGAGATAACTTGCCTCTGCCTTGCATGCACAAGGCCTTGGGTGCAATCCCCAGCACCACACACACACACAAAAAGAATCAAGTAGAGGACTTGTTAAATCACAGGTTGCTGGGCCTTCACTTCCAGAATTCCTGATTGAGTAGAGCAAGAGGAACCAAGGAAAAACACTTCAACCATAAATTGTGTATGGCATAAGGTAAGGTTAAAAATTTGCATGTGGATATGTTGAAAAAGCGTTTTTTTGTTTGATCCCCCAAATCAAATCAAAACTTCAACCTCACCCAACAACCTCTTATGTTTAACATAAGAGCTAAAACTATAAAATCCTTAGGTGAAAAGTAACATGAAGTTCCTTGTACTTGAGAGCCATGGTGGAATAAATTCTTACTCATTTGGGGTAAAATACGAATATTTGGTCTCTGTGCCCAATTTCTGACAGAGTTCCTGAAAACCTGTGGAATTTCCTCAGTGATAGAAATATCTTGTAATTTATAAGGAGCCCCTTTTGATCACACCTGGGCTTGTGCTAATGAGGTGATTTAGGCTAGGTTTCCTAGATAATTTCAGGATGGGGCTGGTCACCAGAAGGACCAAAAGTGATTTAGAGCGAAGTCTTAACTCTACCCTCTCAGTAAGGGGTTGGAGATTAAGGTCTATAAAAATTCTCAAACAGCAAGATTTGATAAGCTTCTGGACTGGTGGACACATTCAGATCTCCATACCAGGAGTGTGGCACAACCCAACTCCACAGGGACAGAAACCCCTGTGCTCAGGACACTTCCAAATCTTGCTCTATGCACCTCTGCCTCTGAGGGATCAATTGTATTCTTTTCAACAAACTAGTTAGTAAAGCATTTTCTTAAGTTCTGAGAGCCCATTCTAGCAAATTGCCAAATCTTAGGAGGAGATCATGGGAAACCCAGATTTATGTCTATGTCTGTCAGAGTAGGCCAGGAACTTGTGACTGGTGTCAGAAGCTGAGAGCTCTGCATACTTCCGAAAAGTTAGTGTCTGAGCAAGTGTCCAGAGAAACAGAGAACTGGTTGTTGGTGTGGGAAAACTCTCCAAACCAATAGTTTCATTTAGATGGAAAGAAATTCAAACAGTCGGACCTGATCTGCATACTCTTCTGACCTGGAGGTAGACTTATGGATGGAAAGCACTGGTTTCCTATTCATAATAATGGCACTAATATTGTCACACACACACACACTCCACACTCACTCCCAGACTCTTCCCCCACTTTTTTTTTTGCAAGTTAAAACAGTAAAGTGAACAAATCTTAAACTTGACTTTTTACATGTACACCCATCTGACCACTACCTAGATCAATACATAGAACATCTCCAGCATCCCACAAAGCTCTCTTGCACCCCTTCCCCAGTTTTTAAACCTCACTATGTTTTCATTTGTTCCTATAAATACATGGAATTGTAATTACTATTCCTTCATGCCTGGTTTCTTCTATTTAATACGACTTTTTAAAGATTCATGCATGTTATTGTAGGAGGCAATACTTTGTTGTTTTTCATTGCTGAGTACCACAACATTATATGCTAAGTCACAATTTGTTTCTACTCACTTATTAGTGAACATTGGGGTTGTTTCCAGTTTTTATTACACATAAAATTGCTATAATATCCCTGGAAATGTCTTTTGGAACATATAAGGACCTTGCTTCTCTTGGCTATACAGTATATCAAGGAGTTTATTACAGGATCATAGAGTTACCTGTGCTTAACCTTAGTAAATGACTGCAAATTGTTTTCTAAGCCATTGTGTCAATTCACCTTCCCAACAAAAATGTCTGGCAGATCTGGTGAATTCTCCACCTTGCCATATTTGGTACTGTTAGTCCTTTCAAGTTTAACCTTACTAATAGGACTATATCATTAATTTTTAACTTCTTATAATTTTTATTTGACTTATATTAATTTTTATTTACCTAAAATGGGTGGTCCGTGGATGCTGAATGTTTGAGAAATGTGTAGGACTCTTCTAAGTATTCAGAAATTCCCTGAGGATGTGTGGGTGTGCTTTTGCCTATATATGTGCCCCAGTCACAAATGAATGCCACAGACCCCACCCTCCTGGCCTCAAAACAGACCCTTCCTTTCCCCATGAACAGGAAGAGTTTAGTTGGGATCCCAGGGGAGATGTTTCCATCACCAGCAACATCTGGGGAACATCTGGTGAGCCTATCCCAGGACAGGGAGATGCTTTTATGGAGAAAACACATCACTTATTTGATTGTATTTTCCCTTAATCTCTTTTCTTCTTCCTACTCCCCAATCTTAAATCCTCACTCCATTCTTTGCCAACTCCCTGCCCTGGTTTTCCCAGTGCAAACCTAGGCAGCTGGAGAGACCCTCATTAACTCTAGTGCTCAATCCTGCCCGTTCCCTGATCAGCAAGCAGTCCCTTCCAGAAACGGAGTCAAGGAATGTTGCAGCTCTTGGGTTCTCTGGTTCAATGCTTCCATTTTACAGATTGGAAAGAGGGAGTCAGGGACAGAAACCAGACCAGAATGCCACTTCTAGGTATTTCAGATACTACTTTTCCGCAGGATGCTTGCACTGAGGATTGGAGGCAAGTAGGAAGGCAAGCAGTGGAAAGGATTCCTTGGGACCAGCAAATTCTGCAGCCTGTAGCCAGGGAGAACACAGCTGAATATCTGGGGTGGGGGTGGGGGTAACTGCTCTGACAGCTGAGTCACCTTTAGCAAGTGACACTCAACTCTGTAGACATTAAACTCCTTCCTGAGCAGTCTCAGCCACACCATAGATTTCATACACCACTGTGTGTGTGTTGAGAATTCCTCAATTGCCATCTCCAGCCCTGTCCTCAAGAAGTCACTGGAAGCTTGACTCCAGCTGCCCAGACACCTCCCCCTAAGAAATGCATCTAGAAGGACAGGAGCTATGTCGGTCCCTAACCTGTTTTCCTCTTGTTCTCTCTGGAAAGTAAAGGGCCATCGATAGGTCCTAGCCCTCCTTTTTTTTTACACACCGATGGCAGAAGTGGGGCCCTCACAATCATCTCCACTCCAGATGCCGTCCAGGAGGACAGAAGGTCCCCCCCCACCCCCACCTGGAGGAGGGTGGAATGGAATCCTGAGGGCTGGGCTAGTCGCTGACAGTATTCATCTAGGACAGTCAGAAGAACCCAGAATGCAGCGGGAGCAGAGCTGGAAGGGGGAGGGTCAGGCTCCCACGAAGGCTCCCTGGAGGAGGCAGTGCAAGCAGAGAGCCCTTAAAGGCGCTGGGATTCAGGTAAGCAGAGAGAGGGCCAAAAGGCAGTTCAGGTGATAAGCAGCTGCTGCAGCAAGGGTGTGAAGGTGGGAACCTCCAGGTGCTGGATAATATCAGGACTGGTGATTGGGAAAAGGAGCAGGGAGTGGGCCCCTGGACCAGTAGTTGGTTGCTGGACACACACATTTTCCTCTGCGCAGAGGTACTGGGGAGAGTTGGCCCTGAGTCAAGGGAGGTCTTGGCGGGAGCAGAAAAGGCAACAGGCCATTTTAAGTGGCCAAGGTCTGGCCCGGAAGAAACCAGCTTCTCTCCACTTTTTTAAAAGGGGGGGATGGGTGGGGGTGGGGAAGTTGGTTCTGAGAACCTCTAGTCCTGGGCTCCAGCAGGGGTAGGGTTTCTGGCCCGGGGGCAGAGGTGAAAGTCCGGCCCTAGACAATCTCCTTTACTCTCCCTCCCTACTCCTCTTACATCCCGGAGATGGGTTCATCTCCAATCAGTTTACTTTTCTGGCGGATCTGGGGGTGGGTGGTAGTGTGGGGGCAGAAGAGTTAACGCTTAGATTGGATTATAATAGACTGCCTCCGGTGGAGTGAGGGTAGAGGGCGTGTAGGAGGCCTCCCTTCTGCTGTCTTGTCCCAGGGTCTTGCGAAGTTTCGCGAGACTCCTGGCCTCAGTCTACCCTTCTGCAACGGCGCGGTGGGGTGAGGTGGGCATCTTTACGAGAGGGCTCTCCCAGCCAGGACGGTCGGCGCCTTGAGGACCAGTGCAGGAGGGCGGCGCGGACTGGGGGAGGGTTGGGCGGAGAGCTGCAAGGCGCCGCCGTGGGGTCAGAGTCCGCCGGGAGGCCCCACGGCCGCTGCGCCGGCTCCGGGCGGGGAGGAGCGGCGCCTCCGGGGCGGGGCCGCCGGGCGGCCTGGCGGGAGGCCAGGCGTGCGTCAGCGCAGTGAGCCCCGGAGTTTTCCACTGACGAGGAGGGCGGAGCGGCGGGCGGGGCCGGGCGCAGCCAGTCTCCCGCCGCCGCCGCAGCCGCCGGACGCGCAGAGCGAGGGGCGGCTTGACCGACGGCTGCCCGGCGGAGCGCAGGGAGTCGCGGCGCGGGGAGCGTGCCGGGCTGGGACGAGGGTCGCGTCGGTGTTCTTGGCGAGCGACCGGCTCTCAGGCGAGTGCTAAGGGGACCCGAGACCGACTGGACAGGACTTTGGGGAGGGGGCATCCGGCGCTAGTGGCAGTGCTGCTCCGGCCCTTGCCATTCGCTTTTGGGCAACCCTAGTGGGCTCCGGGGCTGGGGGCTGCCCAACCCGGCCCGAGTCCACGGCTTGGAGCCGGGGAGGCTGGAGTCGTAGGTTTTTCGCTCCCCTCCCCCGCCCCGCCGCAGTTGCCCCGAGATGTCCCGGCTCCCAGAACCGGGTGCAGGTGGCAGAGTGGCCAGGCGCGCGCGTCCGCGGGTGAGTTTCCTTTTGACCCTGCTGCCTGAGAACTTTTCAGAAGTTTCTCGCGTGGCCGGAGCAGGTGACATTTGTCGCCTTTCTCATCGGGCTCCCCCCGGGGGAGGGTGCGGGAGCTGCGGCGTGTGCCGGGTGATCCCGGCAGGCGGGGGTCAGGGAGGGAGTGGAGGGATGAGCGAGGAGTGAGGCTTGGTGAGTCACGGACCCCGGGAGGGAGGAGGAGGGATTGTGTCGTACGCTCACCTGTTTGTCAGTCACCGTCACACTCAGAGGCCACCGCCGTGAGTCACGGGGCGCAGCTATACCGGCCACCCGCGGGCACTCGTAGGGCCTCTCCCACGCACTTCTACTCCCTCCTCTGCACGTACTTCCTCTCCGTCCTCAGTTTCCCCTCCCCGGGGGGGCCTTTTCCCCGTCACGCACTGTTGAGATGCCCACACCACAGCAACAGCCATACACTTAGTCACTCCTGTTCCCGGCACAGTCACACAGCCATAGCCCACATTCCTGACACCAGAGCGTCCTCCCCAGCTCTCTCACTGCCCACCCAACACCTCCACTCAGAAGTCGCACAGTCCTCTGAAGCGTAACTCATCACCCCACGCCCCCAAATCCTCCATAGCCCTGCCCTCTTATATCTCCGCATCCCAAAGTCATCAGGCCCACCCCCCTTTCTCCTCTGTTCTTGTACTGTCACCTCACCTGGCCCTGGCTTCTCTGTCCAACAGGTCACACCCCCTCTAGTCCCGGTGCTGAGCCATCTTTTAAGAATGCAAATCTGGTATTGTCACTCCCTACTTAAACCCTTCAGTGGCTTCCTGTGCCCTCAGGCTAAAGCCTGCCCTGTAGCCCTGGCTCTGCTGTCTCTTAAACTGCCCCTCCTCCACTCACCTTTTTGGCTGTTCCTGCTCCAGATCCTCACCCGTACTATACCCACTCTCTTGAAGAACTCTCCCTACATCCATTTTCCAGAGAAATTTGCCTTCACCCCCTCTTTTCCCTGTGATTCTTTCCCTGCATGGCCCTTTCACCCTCTCCATTCCATCACCCCACACTGATTGTCCCCATCCTCCAGCTCACACTTCTAGAGGACAACATTTGTTGTAAATCTTGCCCCCTGTATGACCAAACACCTACCCCAGTACTTGACTCATTATGGGAGCTCAGTAAATATTTGTGGAATGAATGAATGAATGAATGAATGGAGTTAAGGAGGCCTTGGCTTAGGTGGAGGGAGCTGTCACTGTCAGGTGTAATTTCCCTCCTGCAGAAGCAAGTGCCTTAAGTAGCCAGCGAACGTTTGGCACCTACCCAGTGCCAAGCCCTAGAGGCTAGGCCTAGGAACTGTCCCCTCCCCCAGATGACTTTCAGAGGGATGGGTGGGGGAGGGGTGTGCCCATGCTTCCTGTCTGCTGTCTCTGGGCTGTCCAGGCAGTTTGTTTCACTAGGGACCAGAGGTGCTCTTAGGTGCTTTTCCCCTGTCCTAGGAAGTAATTCTTGGGGGTTGGAGTCATGTGACCCCAGGTGTTTGGGGGTGGGGGTAGCTGGCCAAGGCCTTCAGTTCTGAGGTTAAAGGACACATTCTTCAGATTCCTGGAGGGGTTTGGAGGCGACTAAAGGTGCCCCCTCCCTAATACCAGCTCTGGCTCGGAGCTGGGGCACTGATGGGACTGCTGAGGTGGACAGAGGAGTTGATGGGACTTTTTAGAGGTCTTGAAATGTCCTTCCCCAAACAGCCCTGGGTTGCTTGGTGCCAAGAGTGAGGTGGCCTTCCTTGGATTCACATAGTGCAACCTGAGTGTGTAGTTGTGGCCTGTAGGCTTGGGAGACATTCTCCTAGGCTGCCAGTGCCTGTGTGTGGTGGCTGGAGGGCTGCCTGATTCTCAGGGCCCAGTCAGATCCCGGAAGAAGCCTGGTTCTCTTTGATTCAGGGCCTGTCTCCCGGGGCTCCTTGGGGGTGTGGTATTTCTGTCTGAGCCAGCTCCCTGGGAATTTCTTTTCCTTCCTCCAGGACCCCAGGAGGGGGTTGTGCTCACCCTGGGAACAGTGCCACGGTCAGGATCTTGATTCCTGGGGAGCTGCAGAGGGCCCCTCCCCCACCCTCTGACTCACTGTCTGACACTTTTCTTGGACTCTTTCACTATCTTTCATTCCTTTTTCTGACTTGGCTTCTCCTTGTTTCTGGCTCAGTCTTTCCATCTCATCTCCTGCCTCTGCCTCTCTCAGCCTCTGAATCCCCAGGTGGGACGGAGGAACTGAGATCCAGGAGCTCTTCCCCACCTCCCCAAGGGAATATCAGGGAGGAGATGATTCTCATTTCATTCCAGGTCTGCAGATCCTGCAAGGGGCTCATCACTCTTGCCTGCAGTGTGATTGTAACCTCCCTATGACTCTTTTCCTATCTGCAGCCTTGGAGGCTAGAACCCCCTCACCTTAAATCCTTCTATGGACATTCCTGATGGCAGAGCCCTGGTATCTGGCCTGAGCTGCTTCCTTGACATCTCTTCATCTGTTTACTCTTGGGGAACAGGGGGCCTCCTGTTATGCCTGTGTTGGCACCACCTGCAGTTAGACCTTCCCTCTTCAGTCTTTAGGGCCACCTTTAAGTGTCATTCTTGCTTGAATCCTCTGGCACTGGCCAGAGGAGGAACATGTGGCCCTCTCCTAAATTAACTGCCAGGAGCCAAAGGTCACATTGAAAATTTGTGTACTTATAATCTGTTTCTAGGTCGATTCCTGATACCATGGGAGCTATCTTGGTCAGTTTGGACTGCTATAACAAAAATGGCATAGGCTGGGTGGCTTAGACAAAAGAAGTTACTTCTTCTGTTTCTGAAAGTGGGTGGGTGCAAGTTCAGGGTGTCAATCTGATGAGGAGGGTTCCTTTTCTGATATGCAGATGCACTGTGTCTTACTGTGTCCTCACATGGTAGAGAAAGAGGTCATCTCTGTGTTTCTTATAAAGGCATTATTTCCATTCATGACCTTATCTCCCAAAGGCCTTTAAGCACCATCACTTGGGATTTGACTTCCAACACAGGAATTTTGGTAGGACACAAATATTTTGTCTACAGCATGACTTAGAGAGGCAGGAGGAAAGAGTAGGGGACTCTGGAGGTCCCTTTGGAGATAACTTCTGAAAGAGAATGAGGTTGGGTTGTTCCAGTTTGTGCAAAGGCCGGGAGATGGGCAAGGGTATGGTCGGTAGGGGAAATGCAGGTTCAGCTGGAGTACAGAGAAGAGCCATAGGGAGACTGCGGGATGAGGCTGGAGGCCAAGCAGTGGCCAGCTCTGCTTCAGCCTCTTAACTGATCCTAAGGTCAAGCTTCCCCAGGGGGAGCTACAGACAGAGTGGTGCTATGCAATGGAATGGCAGGTGGATCTTTGGTTTTACAGGGTCATTCTGGCTGCAGAGTAATGGTTGGTGGAGAGAGCAGGAGCAGAAGCAGGGGACATGTGTAGTAGTAATGGGGACTGGGAGGTGATAAGGGTAATAAACTTTATTTATTTTAAGTGCTAGGAATTGAACCCAAGGCTTGAGCATCCTAGGCAAGTGCTGTACAGCTGAGCTACACCCTCAGCCCAGACTTTTTAAAATTGATGGTGACCTACATAGAATGCATGCAGTGTACACATTCCACATGTACAGCTAGATGAATTTTTAGTTTTTAGGCACCCCTATCACCACCAACCAGAGCACAACAGAGAACATTTCTAGACCTCACAGGAAATCCCCTCATGACTCTCCCCAGTGTGTGCCCCTCCCTCCCCCTGGAACCACTATTCTGACTTGTGTAATCACCGATGAGTTTTGCCTTTTCTTGAACTTCATGATCAGGATTTTGTTTCTGGTTTCTTCGTCTCAGTGTAATATCTGAGATTCATCTGTGTTGTGTGTATCCAGGAGCTCATTCTTTCTTCCACACATTTACTGAAACACTTATCATTGTCCAAGAACATGACTTGTATCGATTCCTGTAAACCTTCTAACCCTATGAGGTTTTAAGACAAAAGAGTTGGAGGCCCAGAAATGTTAAGGAACTTGTCCAGGATCACCCAGCCAATTAATATCCAAGGTAGGGTTCAAAGGCAGGCAGTCTGGTTCTGGAGCCAGGGTTTTTAATACAATGCTGGGTGGCCTCCAGGATGCCTACTGAGTCTGTGCCTGACTTTGTGTGGAGTACGTGAATGTGTATGTGAACTTCAGGACCCAGGGCCTGGACGTAGATGAAGGGAGAGGGAGGAAGGAGTTGAGGATGGCTGCAGGTTTCTGGCTTGAGCAACTGGGTGGGTGGCAGTGCTGTTACTAAGATAGGGAACACAGGAAGAGGAACAGATGGTGTTGGGGGTGGGGGACAGAGACCAGGGTTCAATTTGGGGCCTCTGGAATTGTATGTTTCTTGGGGAAGGCCAGGCATAGAGAGTGGGCAATTGGTGGTGGTGAGGAGGGGGACGCCGTCCTCAGACCAGGCACGTGATTAAGGAGGCATTCAGCACCCTATAGATGGCACCTGGAATTTGGGGGAAAGGATGGTGTCTCCCCACAGGGGCAGGAGGTGTGGGTGCTGTTTGTTCATGTGTGTGCTTCTGTGTCTGAATATCTGTGGTCTCTGTGTGTGTGTGCATGTGTGTGCCTGGCTCTGGATTATGAGTTCCCCCATCTCCTGGGAGAGCCTGCAGGTCAGCTGGGAGCTGGGTTGTTTTTGTTTGTGGTTTGACCCTGGGAAGGGGGGTGCCAAGCCTAAGAAACTACCCCCGGAAACACCTGTGTATCCTCTTCCCCCAGGCCCAGGGTGGGGGGCTAGCCAGGGAGAGAAATTTTCTTGCTTCTCTCATGCCTGGTTGACAGAGGCTGTCCCTGGGATGGATTTTATCCAGTTAATTGGTTCACAGCACATTCCCTAGGTTCAGGGACTCTGGAGAGGCTTGGGATAAGGAAAGTGGTGTTTGGAAAGGACACCTGAGTAGAAGAGACCAAGACAGCTTTTTGGTTGGTTTTTCCTGTTCTTTCGTTTCCTGTGATGGCTGTGGGGGTGGGGTTCCCTAGCCCTAGGGCCTCAGCTTTGTTTCCCCTTCCTCCTGGCCGCCTCCTGGGGACCCAGCCCTGAGTGCCATAGGACCTGGCCACAGATACAAGGTAGCCATGAGCAGCCCTGGAATTGAACCCTCTGGGGGTTCCTCAGGCAGAGGGGCTACACTTGGCATTTAGGGCAGAGAGCCCCAGCCCTCTCCACTCTGAGGCCAGGCTGGCTGTGGCGTCTCTGGTTGCATTCCACCTAGGGTTGAGGTCTCAGTGGGGAAGCACAGTGTGTCCTGGGGTGCTGCACCTCAGAAGCTAAAGGGGAATAGTAATTTCCATGGGAGGTTCATTCAGACAGTTTAAAATATTGGAGTAGAAGGCAAGACATAGGTGGAGTTGAAGATCAAATGAAGGTTCCCTGTCACGTTAAGCCTGCAGGCAGGGGACTTCTCTCCTGCGGGATGGGGGGTTTCTGAGGGAAAGTCTGAGAAGTTCCATCACTGGAAGGGAGGGGCTCAGGAAAGTCCTCCGTGTGGGAATGGGGGCCATCAAAGCCAGCTTTTCCCAGAGTGCCTGTCCCTGGAAGGAGGGCCTGGGGCTGCCTGTGTGCAGGCTGGTGGGAGTGGGGGTGTGCTGGAGAAGAGGAAGCAGTACCACCTTCTGAGGGCCCTGTGGGCTGTGGCGTGTGGCTGGGTTTCACACACAAAGGTGCACAGACGGGAGCCCCCATGAGTCACCCCTGCAATGAGTCGGCCCCCGTGACTCCTGTCCAGGAATGGTACAGCCGAAGTCCATCAGTCCATCTGTTGGTCTGTCTGCTGGTTGCCCTTGCTGGTGTGGATGTTGTGTGTAGGTGGGTTGTAGAAGGTGGTGGGGAAGATGCCAGGCGGTTTCCCCAGAAGGCTTTGGGCAAAGGTTGTGGGAGTTCAAAGGCATCAGGATATGGATTTGTTTGGAGGAAGAAGTGCTGTGTCTTGTGCTGGGGGTAGGGGGGCCTCCTGGAGACTGCTCCTGTACCTAGAGCTTCTGGCTTGGACAGGAGGGCCAAGACCTAGCTCTGGGACACTTGGAGCAGCAGTAGGAGGAATAGTGATCGTGTCTGAGAGCCTGCCTTCTGGAACCCTCTGCCAGGGCTTGCTGTTACCACCTGCCTGACACTTAACTTTCTCATTCCCATTCCAGGCCGTTTGTCGCCAGCCCCTAGAGCACCTCTGCAACCATGACTGGGCTGCTGAAGAAGAGGAAGTTTGACCAGCTGGAGGAGGACTCCTCCTCGTTCTGCTCCTCCACCTCCTCTGACTGCGTCTCTCGTTCCTGCTCCCCAAGCTCTTCAGTCTCAGATGAAGAGAGCCCCTGGGGTCAGATGCCCCTACCTGAAAGGGACTTCTGTGGCTCCCAAAGTTTTACCCGTGAGTCCTCTCTTCCCTGGGAACCCCACTCTACTTTTTCTTTCTTCCTGAAAGGTGAATTGGGAGGTCAGGTTTCCAGGGCTGTAGCTCCCTCACTTTGGCTTCCTATGGCATCCACTTCAGGGGCTAGCTTGATTCACCTTTGACCTTGGGAGTAGTGACATCCAGGATGCAGCTCCTTGGAGTGGCCCTGGGGCCTTCCCACTGAGCCCCTCCCTTCTGTTCCAGTTTCGTTTCTCCAGCGTGCACCCTGCCTGCCCTTCCTACAAACCCAGCTGCTGGAGTTCCACACCCCACACATCTCTGCCGCAGGGCCTGTCAGGCCAGTCCCTCTCTTGTCAAAATGCTGTTTGCCTTTGCCTGAACACACTGCAAGAGGGTTTTTTCCAGGTTATTTTCCAAGTTGTGTAATTCTGATTCCAAATTGATAAAGAGGACTGGGGATGTAGCTCAGTGGTAAGAACATTTGCCTACTGTGCACAAGCTCTGGGTTCAGTCCCTGGCACTGAATTAAAAAAAACAAAAAACGAATCCAGCTTTCTAACTGATTATCTTAGAGCATTGTTTCTCAAGCTTGTTTTTCACTATTGCTCCTTCTACCTCCAAGGAATCTTTTAAGACAATTTTTTTCCTAATCACCGCCTCATGAAATTTTAATAGCACAGATATATGCTGCGTGTGTGTGTGTGTGCATTGTACACTGTGATTTTTAGCACATAGTCTCTAACAGTACAAAGTCTTTTAAAATTAATGTATTAGCTTGAAATATGGAATTGCCAATATTTGGTTTATGAAAATAATAGACCAATATATGTATTGAATGTATCAATATGTAGCTTAGGGATCAATATACAATCAGTAACTTAAAAAGGGAAGGACTTTCTAAGCCTGTTGCAAAACAGACACTTTGAAGGAAAAAAATCAATATGTGGGGCTGGGGATGTGGCTCAAGCGGTAGCGAGCTCGCCTGGCATGCGTACAGCCCGGGTTCGATCCTCAGCACCACATACAGACAAAGATGTTGTGTCTGCCAATAACTAAAAAAAAAATAAATAAATATTAAAAAAAAATCAATATGTATTTTTGACTAAATAAACCTTAAAAAATTGGTTTGTGTGGACTGGAGCTGTAGTTTAGTGGTAGAGCACCTGCCTAGCATGCACAAGTCTGGGTTATTCAATCCCTGGCACTGCCAAAACAACAACAACAAAATTACATGAAGTGCCATACCAAAGGGATGACTAAAATATTTGCACAGAGAAGTTGAATAGATGATCATTATCTCCAATTTCATACATAAAGAGTTCCTACAAATCAATATAAAATTGTAAAAGGGACAGGTAGATGACTGATAGTAATGGAAAGACATTCAACCCTATGAATACTGTCACTTGGACTGGTAAATGACTTTGAGCCAATGTTGACAGGGGTGTTTGTTCAGTTTTACCAGCTCCAATCCCAGCCAGGCTGGCTCCTAAATTCAGGTCCTCTTTTTTTTTTAAGGAGGGAGAGAGGGGATGCGTGGGGAGAGACAGTTCTTTGCACTCTTCCTCGAGGTGATACTGCGCTTCAGTGAACTAATCCCCCGCCCCTTTCCCTGCCTGTCTTCCAGCTCGGTCCATTTTGAAGCGGGCTCCTCGGGAGCGCCCATGCCGTGTCGCCTTCACTGGCATCACTGTCTTCTACTTCCCACGGTGCCAGGGCTTCACCAGTGTGCCCAGCCGTGGTGGCTGTACTCTGGGCATGGCCCCTCGCCACAGCGCCTGCCGCCACTTCTCCTTGTGTGAGTTTACACAGGAACAAGCCCGGGCCCGGCGTGAGAAACTCCGCCAGCGTTTGAAAGAGGAGAAGCTAGAGATGCTGCGTTGGAAGGTAGGGAGACCTGTCCTCATGGCCCGTGCACTCCAGCTGCTCCTGGAATCCTAGCGCTGGGTGCCAGTTTGCATGTCATATGTAGGCAAATAGGTCTGTGGGCTCTGTGATTGGCCTAATCAGACCAGATTATCTGCAGACACAGGGAAAGGATGGCGGGTCCAGGTGGACTGAGGGCCTGGTGTCTGACCTTAACAGGGAGGAGGATGTGGAGTTTATGTTGTTGGGGAGTGGTGGTGGTGTATGTGTAATAGGAGAGGGAATTTTGTCCCTGATCTGGGGATTGGTAGGACATCTCTGCAAGATGCCCTAAGGGCAGTGTTCTTGTTCTCAACACCATACCCACAGTGCCTAGCACACAGTAAGCGCTTTGGGCATTTGTTAAATGTTCATTCAACGTTTGTTAAGTGTTCGTGCCTCTCACATTTCCTCTCTCATGGATGCAGCTTTCGGCCTCTGGAGTACCTGAGGGGGAGGCAGGCCTGCCACTTACAGTGGATGCCATCAATGATGCCTCTGTGGAAGAAGACTTGGCAGTGGCTGTGGCAGGCGGCCGGTTGGAAGAAGTGAACTTCCTACAACCCCACCCAGCTCGGCGGCGGCGTGCTCTGCTGCGGGCTTCGGGTGTGCGAAGGATCGACCGCGAGGAGAAGCGGGAACTGAAGGCGCTGCGCCAATCCCGTGAGGACTGTGGCTGTCGCTGCGATAGGGTCTGTGACCCTGAGACCTGCAGCTGCAGCTTGGCGGGTATCAAGTGCCAGGTGTGGTTGCTGGATAGGGCTGGGCTGGGGAGGTTGAGCCTGGGGGTTCTTGCACTCCACAGAATTCTCACTTGTGCCTCCACTTTCTTTGCAGATGGACCACACAGGGTTCCCCTGTGGCTGCTGTAAGGAGGGCTGTGAGAACCCCAACGGCCGTGTGGAATTTAATCAGGCGCGTGTGCAGACCCATTTCATCCACACGCTCACACGCCTGCAGCTGGAGCAGGGGGCTGAGAGCCTTGGAGAGCTGGAGGCCCCTGCACAGGGCAGCCCAGCCAACCCTGGCGAGCAGGACATGGTGTCCTCTTTCCCGTTGGCCAACCCCCCAGCAAGCAGTGAGCTGGGAGACAATAGCTGCAGCAGTGACATGACCGATTCTTCCACGACATCTTCCTCATCAGGCGCTAGTGAGGCCCCAGACCACCCCACCCATCCAGGCCTGCCTGGTCCTGGCTTCCAGCCAAGCATGGATGATGACAGCCTGGCGCGGATCCTGAGTTTCAGTGACTCTGACCTTGGTGGGGAGGAGGAGGAAGAGGAAGGGGGTGTGGGGAACCTGGACAACCTCAGCTGCTTTTACCCAACTGACATCTTTACTGGTGACCCTGGTGGCCTGGCCAGCTGGACCCACAACTACTCTGGCACTAGCTTTGTGCCGGGTGTCCTGGATGAGAATGCCAACCTGGATGCTAGCTGCTTCCTAAATGGTGGCTTTGAAGGGTTGAGAGAAAGTAGCCTCCCTGGCACCTCGGTGCCGCCCAGTGTGGACATTCACCAGAGCAACTCAGTGGACCTCAGCCTGTCTTCCTGCGACTCCTTCGAGCTACTCCAGTCTCTGCCAGATTACAGTCTGGGGCCTCACTATACCTCCCAGAAGGCGCCTGGCAGCCTGGACAACCTCGAGGCATCCCACGGCCCCTTGCCTGGCCTCTCTCCACCGGGGGATGGCAGCACTTGCTTCTTGGAGTCCCTCATGGGCTTGTCTGAACCAGTTGCCGACGCCTTGGCCCCCTTCATCGACAGCCAGTTTGAGGACACTGCCCCGGCCTCTCTGGTAGAGCCTGTGCAGGTTTGAGGTACTAGGGTACCTTTCCCCTGCCCCAAGAGCCCTGTTGCTGCTTTTTGGTGATTTGGGGGCTCCCCAAGGTCTGTATGTAACAAGTTTCCTATTGGCTGGCTCAGCCACAGGTATGTGGGCACTCCTGGTTTCCACGAAACACTCTGAATTTATTTATTTATTAACTTTTGTATGCTGAAGAGAGGGGGAGGGGCTTTCCCCTTTCAGTGGCCTGGCCCCCCACACCCACACAGTGCTCTTCCACCTCCACAGCGTGTGCCAGGAAGAGAAGACATGGCTCTCCTGGAGCTTCGCAGACCTCTTTTCAGTCTCTGTATGATATTCCTTAGCCCAAGGACAGTGGAACGGGGCTAATCAGCCTCTTCAGGCTTCTCACGCCACTCTGAGCCCTAGACCTATGGGGTGGCTAGATCCTCTGGACTGTGAAGACTGTAATTTATTTCCATAATTTATTTGGAGACTGAAGCAGCTTTAGCTGTGCCTCTTTGGCTGGTAGGTAGTGCTGGGGGCAGGGTCCCTTTTGTCCTGCATCCTGTCCTGCCTGGGCTTTGGTGTATACCAGGTGTGGATGCAAGCCCTGTGATCTCCTGTTAGTTGCTTGGTTCGGGATGGCTGTGTAAGCAGGTGCTGGGCTGGCCAGCTGTGACCAAAACCCCCTTATGCCTGCCCTACCCAGCCCCTTTGCTTCCTGCCCTCCGATCGACTTTCTCCCCTCCACAAGGCAGTGGCCTCTGTTCCCAGCCCGTAATGTAGGAGGGGGAGACTAGATGCCCGGAAAGGGCAAAGGACTTGCCTTGGTATGAACACCACCCTGCAGGGCTTTGGGGCACTGCACTCCATCCCAGCCCACCATGTACCCCAAGGCCAGTTGCTAAGGGGTGGCTCCTTAGGGCTTTTATGCCCTTTGTTTGCTGATGTTGAATTATGAATTTTGAATTTTACATTAACTTTTATATTGTCCCTCAGTGTCAGAACTATAATTTATTCATTTCTCTGTGTGTCTGTGCCAAGAAAGCTAGGCTCTGGGCCTGCCCCTTTGCCTAGGCAGCCTTGCCAGCCTGTGCTGTGGGAACACATTGTACCTGAGCTGACAGGTACCAATAAAGAGGCTCTATTTTTAACGGTGTGGTCTGCATTATTGGGATGGGGAGCTGGGGTATACCTCCAGGAGGCAGTGGAGAGGGAGGGGGTGGCCTTGGAGGGCAGTGTGGACATTGGGGCCGTGTTGGGTAGGTGGGGTGCACATAGCACACTGGGCCTCCTTCCAGGCAGGACAGTCGGGCTTGGAGGCAGGAAGCCAGCTGAGAGGCTGGCTGGGCAGATGGTGCACTTTTCCTTTTGAATTAACCCACTCCTCCCCAGTGGTCATTTGGGGTAGCAGTGGGGAGCAGCAGCAGGATACTCTTCTGGAATGGGGCTGTCTACTTTGGGTAAGTGAAAGCACTGAGCTAGGGCCTGGCCCAGAAGGTTAAGTCACCCACCACCAGGTTGGAACAGGCATTGAGATGTGGCTGGTGGAGGCCTGGCCTGGAGATGGGCTCAGCAGCTGTGGCACCAGAAGCTGCAGAGCTTCATCCATCTGCACCAACCAGACCTGTCTGACCTGTCCCCAGCAGCTGAAGTAGGCTGTGGGCCAAAGGAGCAGGCTGCACCCTGCCCCAGGGAGCCTTTGGAGGCATTTCACCCTCTCCCTTACAGATGGTAATGATTTGTACAGGTGCTGGGAGGGGGACCCACCAAAAGACCCTTTTTGTGGTCTAACCCTCTGCCTCTTGGTCTGCGCTGGGTGCACTCATGAGCATGACCCAATATGACAGGTTTGAATCCCAGCTTTTCTATTACCTAGTGAGGTGACTTATGCAAATTAGGTGCTCTGTACCTGGGTGTCCTCAGTACTGTGCAAATAACATTGCTCCTTTCATTAGCTTGTTAAGTTCATATATGCAAAACACTTGGAGGAGTGCCTGCAGCATGCAAGCCTGTGTTTGCAATTTCATTTTGTTTTTATGTTTTTGTCTTTATATGTTCCCCTCTTTTTTTGCCAGTCCCATCATCCCTTGGGTGTCTGTCTCTTCTGGACATGCATGGGCATGACCACATAATAATGGCCATTAGAAGAATCGTGGCTTGGAGTCTGGCCTGTCGTGGGGCAGCATGTCCTTGTAACCAGTTTAGCCAGAGACAGCCCAGCCCTTAGGCTTCCCAGGATACAGCACCATGGTACATTCAGTTGTTCTGCTTCCTCACCCTTCAGTGTTGTCTGCAGATGCTTTTGCAGATTGCTTCAGCATGCATGATCCTAAATCCTGGTCTTTCCATGAGCTCTGAAGCATTTCTGACTATCCAGGGTTCTGGTGGCAGCCCTCAGCATCTCCTGCCTAGAAGCCCTGCTCCACAGATTCAACTCATGCTGGATTGAGGCTTGCCCATTCCCTTCTAGGGCCACAGTGTTAGATCTTGAGGTTTTTTTATTTGTTTATTTTTGAGATAAATGAAGATAACTTGTGTTTTACAGCCACAAAAAAGTATGGTTAATGCACACTCCTTTCATAAATAATTCTCCAGACAGACCTGCCTCTCAGACTTGTCCCAACAAAACTGGGTTGTAAAGCAGGTCACAGGAAAAGGGACAGGGGGATTTTCCTAAAGGAAAGATGGCAGTAACCTGGGGAGGGCATTCCAGAGCACCAACTCACCAAGAGGTCCTGCACGTGATCAGTACTACATTAGAAAAAGAAGGTTTGACAGCCATCAAGGACAACTGACACTTTCCTAAAAGGGACCCTTATCTGCTCACTGTTCCCAACCTTAGTCATTAGACAACTTCTCTTGAAAATTCTACCCCTCTGCTTCCTGGATGTTTCTTTAAATCAATTATATGGGCTGTTTTCCTCTCTTGGAGGTGGTCTACTCCACGTATCTGGAGCATTACTTTCATTTCACTAAATAAACCCTTTATACTTTTCTAAAACAAAATATATCGATATGCTTAATAGTTAGACCCATCCTATGCAACAATTTTCATGAATTCTTGAGTTCGTTGTGCTAGTGACTCTTCTGTTATATAAACACAAAGTTATTAAACTGAGGGCTGGTGTGTAGCTCAGTGCTAGACCACTTGCCTATCATGAGTGAGGCCCTGGGTTCCATCCCAGCACTACAGAAATAAATACATTCATTCATTAAACTTCAATATTGGCTACATACATCATTGGCAGAGAGTTGTACTAAGATTTGGGAAACATCTAGTCTAATTTCTTGCACTAAAGGGGGACACTGAGAACCAGAGAGGGGAGGGGTTTGGGGAGGTCACATGGGAGACCTTAGGCCTCCCGAATTCCAGTTCAGAGTTCCTTCCCCTGAGGCTGGACTGTCCCATTATTGCCATCCTGAAAAACAGGAAGAGTGGTATCGGGAGCCCAGCAAAGGTGACCTCCATCACCCTCTTGCTAGTTACAATTCCATTATTTATCTGAATAGGGGCCACTGCATTTGCCCTCTTGGGCATTAAAAGGGTTCCTGGGGGATGCATTAGATGGTAACATCTTTTACAAATGCTAAAGTGGGTATTATTTTTTTCTTGGAATGTATTTTCCTATTTCAGGCAAGAATAATCAGATTTGTCCCAAATTGGTGAGGATCAGCAGATGCTCGCTGAAGACTTGGGGAGGGGGTAGGGACAGAATGCATGTGACAGGGTAGGACAATAGCCCTTGCAGACCTGCAGACCCTCTCACTCAGGTTTCAACTCTGGAGGAGGACTTCTGTACCTGAGTCTCCTGTCTGGGTCCATTGCCCAGAGTATCCTGGGCCCATTCCCAGTGGAGACTCACTGGGTAGCATGACAGGGAGGAACAGTGCTTCTTTAGCTCCAGGATGCTGGGAACCAGACAGAAGTGGGGAGGCATTTAAAAATAGCTACAGGAGCTGGACACTGGTGCATGCCTGTAATCCCAGTAACTCAGGAGGCTGAGGCAGGAGGATCATAAGTTCCAGGTCAGTCTCAGCAACTTAGCAAGACCCTGTCTCAAAAATTGAAAAGGGTTGGTGATGTAGCTCAATGGTAAAGTGCTTCTGAATTCCATCCCCATTACAAAAAATGCGGTGAGGGAGTGGATATCTGCCCTCTCAAGAGTCTAGTATTAAAGTAGGGCTTATTATAAAGTGCCCAGTGAACAAAAGCTAAGCCAATTGATGTCTTTCTTCCCTATAGCAAAATTACTCTTTGGACCTTAAAAATGAAAAGCTTTGAGTTGGATGTCTTGGCGCATGCCTGTAATCCCAGTGGATTGGGAGGCTGAGGAAGGAGGATCACAAGTTCAAAGCCAGCCTCAGCAACTTAGTGAAGCTCTGTGAGACCCTGTCTCAAAATAAAAAATAAGGACAAAGGATGTGACTCAGTGGTTAATTACCTCTGGGTTCAATCTCTAGTACAAAAAAAAAAAAAAGGTAAAGCTTTGGGTTGCCTTTCAGGTCCATTGAGACATGATTCCAAATAAACCACATTCATAATAGAAATAGGGAAGAATATGTTATTTTCTGAATTTCTTCTCCAATAACCCACTTCCCACCCCCTCCAGGAAACTGCTCAAGGTTTACGGTTTCCATTGGCCCAGAGTCCCTCCGACCACAGCTAGATCCTCAGCGACCCTTGGGCTTTTCCCAAAATCTCCTCTCTGATCTTGGGGTAGTTGGGGTGCTCCATGAGTACCTGTACCAAGAGAGAATGGGTATGCAGCATCAGGCAGGGGTCCTGGCCACTACCCCTCCCTGCCAATGTCGGTGGCTTACACTGTGGCAGACTTCAATGGCTTCCACAAATTTCTTGTCCTTCAAGTAGTTGAAAGCAAGTTTGAAACCTGCACAGGACACCAAGGAGAACACAGAGGGTGGCAACCTCATGACCCCAGGACCCCTTCCCCCAATATCGAGGGAACAGGCCTTGAGTTCTGGGGTCAGGTTGGGGGTCCTGTGATGCCCTCCCTCCCACACCAGCTCATGTGCATCCTGGCTGCTGCCTTACCAATGGTGGGGTTGGCATGATGACTATACTTCCAGGCCAGCTCGTAGTTGGTGGCTGCGTCCTTGTAGGACTGTTCCTTCTCCATGATGAAGCCCATATACTCATAGGCCTTGCAGCAGGACTGCAGGGAAAATAGGTCAGCGCCTCTGTGGAGGGAAACCAGCGCCCAAGTGTAGTGTGGGTGTGGGACCAGAAGGGGGCGATGGAGGGAGGTGAGCTGCATTAACTCCAGCCTGCACAGGGACCCCAAGGGTATCCTCAGCTTTGCAAGGGGTTAGCTGTATACCCTCCTCACTGCCTCTCCAACGCTGGAGAAGCCCTCTTGTCCCATTATTAGTTGGGGACAGGCATGCACCACTGTGTCCATGGGTTAGTGATGTGCTCGGATCCAGCAAACCTCTCCAGCCCTGACTGCACTTTTGCACCCCCTTGACCCCACCAACAGCTTCTCTCTCTCTCTCTCTCTCTCTCTCATTTCATGTTTTTTCCTCCTCTGGGAATAGTCTGACCCCCTGCACCTCCTGCCTGGCCTTGTCACTGGTGTTGCTAATTCCAATCCTGGTTTGTTGCCCACATGCCCCTCTCCACCTGTTTTTTCCCATCCAGCTCCTTCTTCTCAGCATCTCCTCTGTCCCTGAAGCCTGGGCATGGCTCACAGCGCTCCTTGCAGTTCCTGGACCCCTGCTTCCCCGCCCGGCCTCCCTGCTCAGAGCGCCTCCTCGCCTTGTTGTACTGTATGCAGCGCCGCAGTAGCTCCGAGGCCAGGTCGTATTTGCCGCCTTGGCAGTAGATGTCCGCCAGCAGGAGCCAGCTCTTCTCCAGGTCCTCGGCCTCGGCCAGCGACCAAGCGACCTTGGCCAGGCGCTTCAGCTGGGTACGTGCCTTGGGAATCTGCTTCAGTAGCATGTAGGCTTGCGACATGGCCAGCAGGGCAGGGGTGTTGTCCTTCTGCACATGGGGTGGGAAGTGGCCATCAGCGCACCTTGGTCCTTGTCCTCTGCCCCGCAGCCCGCTGGTTCCCCCAAGCTAGCGCACCTCCGCCTGTGCCATCTCGATGAAGGTACCAAGTGCCACCTCCACGTTCGCCTTCTTCCTGGT